CGCAAGAAGAAAAATATTTCCACGTAAACTCGTCAACTCTTTCCTTTTCATATTTCCAGTACGATGATTCTACCAGTGTGGCCGACCGCTCTTAGGGGATGCAAAACGCGTCACGATGTAAGCGCAGATTTTTTCAAAGTAAACCGCTCTGGTGCATACATACATGTATGCACGATCTCATAGCTGGAAGTATGAAACTGCTCGAAGCGGTAATATTCTTTTAACAGCCACGCTTATGTTACTGACGATAGCATAACGGAAATTGCCGGGATATCGGTATGAAACAGCCGTAGACGCCGGTGTATGGTTATCCATGCAGTACGATAATGAGTCGTACGTCACGAACGTTGACGTAATTATCACAGCATGAAGCTCGAGAGTTGCAGGAGATAGGAGAATTATGTAAACTGTATCGAAATTAATTTAGCAGAAAAAAAAACAAGCAACGACTATATTGTGCAAGTATTGCACGATAGTACGATTAAAAAAGAAACACATTTTCGATGCACGACGCTTCTGTGTGTTCACCCGTATCGCTTATTCCCCTCAGAACCTCCATTAAAGATAACGACGTTTCACGCAAACCAGTAATTGCACTTCGAGATGCAACGTTGCTCCTTAACTTCTAGGAAATGATATGATAAAACGCATACCGTTGTTCGTTACACTTGCAACGAAACATCGATATATTTGCCCCTGTCATCGGTGAACCGTAATTTCACGCGGGTAAATGCAGCGTACGAAGGAAAATGGAGGAGTTTTATGGACTTAAATACGGAAGTTTGGTAACCTGAAAATTAAGAAAAATTTGTAACTTTGCAGAAATGTCGTTAAATTGACGCTAATAATTCCAAGGGGTGAAAAGGCTAAAAACCATTATCGTGAATATTTACGAAACCATCCAAGATATGGAAAAAAACTTAAATTTTATTTTTCAAAAAATTAAAAGTGGTGTAGTAAATTTTGAAAGAAAATACATTTCGAAAATTCTTTACCACCATAATGTAGGACGTCGGGAAATAAAGAGTGATGGGAGTAAATTTGAAAAAAAGTATTTTTCGGAAATTTAAGACGCGCAATATAAGACACCAAAAACTACATATTTTCGAATATCGTTTTTTCCCCAAAACTCGCAATTCTTTTCAGAGTGTTATCACCCCTAGTACCGTCTCATCGCCGAAACAAAGAACAATTTCATTATCAGCGTCAATCGAACGAAATTTCCGCAAAGTTACAAATTCTTTTGAAATTTTCGTGTCGCCGAACTTCCCTCGTGAGAAACGTGGGCAGCATCGACCGTGTGACAGTTAAAGCAAGGAGAAGAAGATATTCGATCGAGCGAAAGGTCCAACAGCGAAATTCCAGGGTCTGTTTTCGGAGCGTGCGGATCGTTTTAACAGAAAAGAGGCGCAGACGTGAGACTAACTCTCGACAGGGGCGGAGTCCCTGCCCTTCGTCGATAAGAGAGCATGCTCCCTCATGTCCCTCTATTTCGGCTTCCCGCCTTCCATGCTAGTCTCGCAGCTTCCTCTCTACTACCCTTCATCCTCATCTACGTCCATCTCCCGTCTGCTCTCTCCTCAATCTCTCTCCCTTCTTCTTTCTCCTCGGTACAATCAGCCAACCTCTCCTTTCTTCCACCGTTTCTTCCTCTTTCGTCCCAACTTTCTACTCTTCTTTCCATCCCGATTCTTCAACGTCCATCGTGCCTCCCTCTACCTCTCGTTCTCCCATCAATGTCCTCCTCACAGTTACATCGCGTCGAGCCGACTTTTTTCCGTACGCCTCTCCGAATATACCCGCGGCACGTTTAAGGCAGTGAAGAGTCAGAAAACGTCGCGACGCCGCGTCGTGGCATGTTAAACGCGGTTTCACGTAAACGAGAAGGGACCGGAGCAAAGGAAGAGAAGAGAAGGCGAGAGCGGAGCAAAGCGGAGTCTCACAGTGAGGCTCGAATATGCGCCCAAGGTGAATCCTGATGAACGTATCATCGATCGGTGGTTGCTGAACCAGCCGGTGTGCTCGGTCCACGCGTGTACGCGCAAAGAGACGCGCCGTTCCCTGTGAGCCCGTGCTACTCTGTTGCTTCCGACCTCGAATATCCGCGATTCGCCCGGTCGCAGGCTCTCCTCCCGGTGTAATCGTTCCCGACGACACCGTCGCCGAAAACCTCGCGGCTCGCCTTTTTTACGGAACGTCGCAGAAGGTTCCACGGATTCGAGAGAAGAAAAACAGAGACAGAGGGATAAGAAGAGGGAGAGAGAGAGAGGGAGGGTGAGAGAGAGCGAGAGAGAAAGCTGAGTTTTATCGATTGTCGTCGTGGTACGAGATACTGAACGTGCTGGATTCGAGAGTGCCGAGATCTTGCATTGCGACAGACTCAATTTCGTGTGGTCCACGCGTGTTCTTCCAGCCCCTTTGTGTATTTCTAAACGGGATCATCCGGGGGAAAGGATGACTTTCGTAACCGCCACCACTGACTTGCATCCTCTCAGCTGATGGTGTTTTCGTGCGAGCGTGTATCGCGGCCGAGCAAGCGGAAAGGGTGGTTCGCTGTTGGTTTGACAGATGCGAGAGGTCGCCGCGGGGAAAGTATGTGATCGGTTGACGGAACGCGGTTGTTAGACGTGTGTGATCTCTTTGCGTGCCCGCGGAGAGACACGCAGATACTGCTTCGAACTGATTGGTCTCTCCTTGGTTGCGTGTAAGTACCCTTCGTCGTACACTTGTTAATAGTCTGAGTTTCAGAGGAATTTTACAGCACATGTCGAACTGATTGGTCTCTCCTTGGTTGCGTGTAAGTACCCTTCGTCGTACACTTGTTAATAGTCCGAGTTTCAGGTTTCATAAGGGTGATTTGACAAACGTGATTCTCCATTTGTACGATCGTTCGATCTAGTGTCGATCCATTTTTTTTTTACCAAATTTACCAATGAAAATCTGCACAACAGAGATGTTCGAGGATATCCTTGAAGCTGTGTCGGGTGAAAGATCTGGACCGTGTTAACATTTGAACTTTCGTGCTTATCGTCGTTCGACCGGTTGTCCATACTTTTTTTCAAATTGACGAATGAGAATTTACAGGATTTTCGAGGAGATCCTCGAAGTTGTGTCGCGTGAAGGATCTGGACCGCGCTGAACCTTTGAACGTTACTCTTTCACGGTTAACCTTCCTCGTTTGACATTTATCAAGTGTAATAGGTGTTGAAGCGTTTAGGGAGTGTTGAAGAAAGGAGAGACGGTTTTTGTGTGCGCGTTTCAATTATCCTGGATGGACGAAATGGAGGAAACGGTGTGGATACTGTTTGCTGCGTGATTTACCAAAATTCGATGTCTCGTACGGTGCCAAATTGTGATTCAACCTATTTCGGGTGTCGGAGGGACGGTTTTTGGTGTGTATTTTTTGGAAACGAGACAGGAATTTGTTGGGGAAATTAGAAGATGCACGTCGGAGATAAACAATTGCAAGGGAAGTGAAGGAAGTTTGTTTTGGTGTGGATCATTGATCGCCACGCTTATCGCGTAATTAATTACGAGAACTACGTAACAACTACGTGGTATGTACTTCGCTGGGGAACGGGAGAAACGAATTTTCAACGCGTGCACGTTCAATAACGCGACAATTGAACTTGTGCGACGTAATCTGTCAACAATTATCATTCATAAGAACTTGCGAGTGACAGTGGTCGGGGTTTAATGGTAAATACCGTTGTATCTTAAACACTTTGCGATTTTTCAACCCTTTCGTTGCGGCAGATTTTAGTACGTAGTGTGTGGTAAAAATCTTTTATTTTCATCCGGTCGAAATGTAGAATTTGTATAATTGTTTTGGGGGTTTTCAGAATTAAACAATTTTTGATTCGTAGAAAATTGAAATTTGTTTTGTCGAATCGAAATGAAAGTGTGTAAAAGGTAAAATTAAGGTGAAAATACGTGAAAAGGTGTGAAATAGCACAGTAGGAGTAAATTTTGAACGCTCCTGTAGACACGAGTAGCGATTAAATGGTGAAATCGTAAAGAAACATTGGTCAATATGATATTTTTAAATTTGATTGAATGAAATTCCATGCAAAAAGTAACAAAAAGTGTTGGACAAACGATATAACGTGTGATCCACAGATGAAAATGTAGAAGTAGTTGACAATTTCTCGTTGAATTTAACAAGAAGCTTCATTGTGTCCCTAATCAGGGATCGTAAAACTGTCAAAAGGGCGTATTTTCAAGGGTTCGTAATCTTTCGACGAGGCATAATCGTTGCACGCGATCCATGCTGGAATTTCTTATAATTAAACCAGGCTAACGACACCTGACTTCGGAACGATCATTTCTTCGTTCCTCCTAAACATTCCTCTCCACAGTAAGAAACAATTATGTCACTTGAAAAATACCTCGAAATACTTGGGAAATCCAAATGTTTTCCCCGTTCAATATTAAATATTTTTCAATTTTTTTTCGCGACGTTTCGAGGAAACACAGTCATTTATTTAATCCATGATTTATATTTTATCCAAAATATAAAAAAATTTCAAATTGTATTATATTTCATTCAAAATATAAAAAAATTTCAAATTATTTTACATTTCGTTTAAAATACAAAACTTAGAAAATCCAAATTTTTCCCCCGTTCAATATCAAATATTTTTCAATTTTTCTGCGACATTTCGAGAACATATTTCGTTCAAAATATAAAAAAATTTCAAATTACTTTACATTTCGTTTAAAATACAAAACTTAGAAAATCCAAATTTTTCCCCCGTTCAATATCAAATATTTTTCAATTTTTCTGCGACATTTCGAGAACATATTTCGTTCAAAATATAAAAAAATTTCAAATTACTTTACATTTCGTTTAAAATACAAAACTTAGAAAATCCAAATTTTTCCCCCGTTCAATATCAAATATTTTTCAATTTTTCTGCGACATTTCGAGAACATATTTCGTTCAAAATATAAAAAAATTTCAAATTACTTTACATTTCGTTTAAAATACAAAACTTAGAAAATCCAAATTTTTCCCCCGTTCAATATCAAATATTTTTCAATTTTTCTGCGACATTTCGAGAACATATTTCGTTCAAAATATAAAAAAATTTCAAATTACTTTACATTTCGTTTAAAATACAAAACTTAGAAAATCCAAATTTTTCCCCCGTTCAATATCAAATATTTTTCAATTTTTCTGCGACATTTCGAGAACATATTTCGTTCAAAATATAAAAAAATTTCAAATTACTTTACATTTCGTTTAAAATACAAAACTTAGAAAATCCAAATTTTTCCCCCGTTCAATATCAAATATTTTTCAATTTTTCTGCGACATTTCGAGAACATATTTCGTTCAAAATATAAAAAAATTTCAAATTACTTTACATTTCGTTTAAAATACAAAACTTAGAAAATCCAAATTTTTCCCCCGTTCAATATCAAATATTTTTCAATTTTTCTGCGACATTTCGAGAACATATTTCGTTCAAAATATAAAAAAATTTCAAATTACTTTACATTTCGTTTAAAATACAAAACTTAGAAAATCCAAATTTTTCCCCCGTTCAATATCAAATATTTTTCAATTTTTCTGCGACATTTCGAGAACATATTTCGTTCAAAATATAAAAAAATTTCAAATTACTTTACATTTCGTTTAAAATACAAAACTTAGAAAATCCAAATTTTTCCCCCGTTCAATATCAAATATTTTTCAATTTTTCTGCGACATTTCGAGAACATATTTCGTTCAAAATATAAAAAAATTTCAAATTACTTTACATTTCGTTTAAAATACAAAACTTAGAAAATCCAAATTTTTCCCCCGTTCAATATCAAATATTTTTCAATTTTTCTGCGACATTTCGAGAACATATTTCGTTCAAAATATAAAAAAATTTCAAATTACTTTACATTTCGTTTAAAATACAAAACTTAGAAAATCCAAATTTTTCCCCCGTTCAATATCAAATATTTTTCAATTTTTCTGCGACATTTCGAGAACATATTTCGTTCAAAATATAAAAAAATTTCAAATTACTTTACATTTCGTTTAAAATACAGAACTTAGAAAATCCAAATTTTTCCCCCGTTCAGTTTTTCAATTTTTCTGCGACATTTCGAGAACATATTTCGTTCGAAATATAAAAAAATTTCAAATTACTTTACATTTCATTCGAGATATCGAAAAATTTCAAATTACTTTGCATTTCATTCAGAACATAAAAAAATTTCAAACTGTACCGTATCTCGTTCAAAATATCAACAAATTTCAAACTCCTTTCCCGTTCCCTACGAAACATTCCTCAACTTCGTTCCAAAATTTCTCTGAAGAAAATACATCGACGAGACACAAATAAATCATCTACTTAACATACGACGTTCGAAAACTGCGGTCGTTAGAAAATAGAAGCACGTTGACACGAGGAAGCGGCAAATTCGATACGGATCGATCGGTTTAATTGGCAGGAGGGAAGCATCGAGCGTCGAATATTTAGCATTCCGGAGGATCGAGAGCACCTTGAAGAGGCAAAAAGAAAGACTCGAGGAGGAATTCTTGTCAATCATCGCTTGGTGCACAAGAGGTCGCGTATTTGCAAGCAGAGCAAACTTGTGCCGTAACCTTTCAATTTTTCTAACCTCCGCCTTTCGTTCATGTTTCGTTGCCCTCGTGTTTCGCGTGTTAACGACGTGACGTAACAGCCTACACCGTTTCCAACATACCTGGCTGGTCTCTGTGTCTCTGTGAAAAACTTCAGCTTCCTCTAAAACGAGACAAACAATAACAGTAAGATCGATACTCGGCGTACGCGAAAATTGATCGAAAAGAAAAAACGAGGCAAATTCGACAAAGGTACGTGGATCTGCAGGCACGGGGAACGTGGAAAGAGAAACGGAAATAAAAGTAACCAGAGTGTCGTCGAAATCGCGTCGAATTGAGTCAGGGGGGAGTGCACTTAATTCGCACTTGTGAAACGATCGCTTGAATATTCCGGAAAAGAGCGAGATAGCGTTACAGAGAGGCGAAAGGTAGACGACGGGCAGAGAACACGGAGATGATGAACGCGCGACGAGGGCGCGAGGGTTGAAGGGAATCGGATCACGAAGAAAGGAGAGAGACGAGAGAAGATGGATAATACGACAGAGAGAGAGAGAGAGAGAGAGAGAGAGAGAGAGAGAAAATACTGTCGCTGGATTGCCGTTAACGACAGACAAGAGATTATCCAGTTGTAGAGTGCGAGATCCTATAACGTGATGCAGCTAGTTACTATTCGTCGTTCGCAACAGTCGCTATTGTACCTACACCTTCCGTCTCTTCTCTCTCTAATAATAAGTTCCGGACCGCCGTGTTTGTCGGACCGTTGCGACGCGCTGATTCGAGCATTTTTGTGTTTTTTTCACTTGGTAACAGGTGACTGGAACGATTCCGGAAGACCGATGATCGAGGAGAAGCGCGATTGCTTTCGCCACGGGGTCATGAGAGACTGAAGGGAAACGGCGATCGAAGGTGTCGAAGTTGCTGCTGATCCAATACGGAACGGATGAATTGCGGGAAACTATGCTGGCATATTGTACAACACCGTTTTCGATCGAAGGTGAGCCTTCCTCTTTTCTGTCTCCAGCTTTATATGGAACGTGTACTCTGTGGGCTGCGACAACCGGTCGTTTCTTTGTACTCCAGTTTATTTTAGATCGTGTATTGTTCGAGTAAATTCATTTTTTAGTGACACTGTGCGGTAATTGTTCTAATTAACATTTTCGAACACTGGAGAAAAATGTCGAGTAACTTTTCAGGATTGAAAATTCATTTTTTTTTGGCAACATGGGTATATTTAGCGATTTACTCTGTTTCGATAGATTTTGTTTATCGACGGAATCTTTCTAGGGATTTAGTTTTCAATAGATGCATGGTGTCCGAGATAATTTAATATTCTCCATTTTTTTTCCAAAATTTCTACCTTTTTGGTTGGAGTATACAGGCGTACGTATTTGATAATTTATACGTATTCGTTTGTTCTCTGTTCAATTCTCATATACCGGGTGTCCCAGTTTTTTCCCGACAGTTTTTCTCAAACTTTGTCGGCATATTCTATGGGTATAAGTGAGAAGAAAATGTTCTATAAATATAGGTGGTTTGAAGCTTCGTTAAAAAGTTATAACGATAATACGAGATAGGGAGGAAATGGTAACGAATGTGAGGTTATGATGCAAAATAGGAATAGATCCAGCGATATGGACATATAATCGGTTTATGCAAGCTGTGTTTACGATCTGAGGTCATTGTAGATGTTGAATGTAACTTTCGCCAGCGCCATTCTTGTCTCGTATCGTAGTAACCGCAAGTTCGTTACCATTTCTTCCGTATTTCGTTATAACTTTTCAACGAAGCTTCAAACGACCTATGTCTATATAACATTTTTCTCTTACCTATACCCGTAGAACACACCGACAAAGTTTGAGATAAAGTTTCGGAAAACAACTGGGACACCCGGTATGCAATAAACATCGCGATGAAGAAATACGTCGGTGTACTGATTTCTTAATGTATTTCTTCAAATTGTTACAAAACTACCGACTGCTGAAAATATGCGTAACAATGAAATTTTTTGTTACCGACTGACACATACCAACGTGCAATTGTTATCAAATCCACGCTATCGATTTATGCGATATGTTGCGCATTATTAATACTACATTGTACGGCATCTACCGTGACTGAATATAGTAGTGTGCACTTAAGCTTCGGAACCGAGAGTGACTAAAAGATCGATAAAAATATCTTGAATAATTTGTTTACGGTGTCCATCGTTATACCTCGAAGCTGCCTGGCCTCTTATCTATGTTTATTCTTTCCTCGCTTTTCTCTCGTCCATTTTTTAATCCACCTAAATGCCCCCTCTCTCTCTCTCTCGTGAAATCCGATTTTGCGACGCGGAGATTTCTTTTTACCCATTGGCGTTTAACCTTCTTATCTTTGTTACGAAAATTCTAATTAGAGAGTATTGTATGTCGAGATTTTTCAAGGATTGTACCAATTTTCAGAATCGAGTTAAACCTTCCGTTTGACTTCTCATTTTCACACTCGACATTTTATAGCTTAGATTTTTCGTGCACCTTAAAATTACAAAACTTTTTTTAAACAATTGAATTAAATTACAATATGCAGGAAAGAAAATATCGAATGAATTTTTTTTTTGAATTAAGAATAAAATTGAAGATCTGTGAAAAGGGAACGAAAGAAATTAATGGATACGTTTCGAATCGTTGTGGTTGGCCAGTAGTTCGATCGATGTTCGCGAGCTGACAATAGCTATCGTATGCTTTTCACTAAACGAGAAAAAATTGGACGGCTGGTTGACACCGCTAAGACTTCGACTACAATGTCTCTATCCCGCAACTTTCTGTCCTATTCAACATTCTTTTCTTCGCAACAATTCGTGTCGTAAATGTGTCTAACATTAAATAATATGCAAATATTAAAAAGCATGCAAATGTAAGCGGAAGATAATTATTAACAATACAATCACTCGGTTGAAAAATAATTCTGTTTCATTGCTGCTAGTTTTAATTGTCCTTTTTTACGATTCTTGAAAAATTGCAATTTTAAACGTTACTTGTTAAGATAACATAAACAATGTAGAATTTTCATATTTCATTTGTTCATATTATCTTTATTGTTTCACTTTGCCCATTTTAGTATTATTTTTAATTTAATTTCAAAAGCGTCGTGGTTCAATTAAGAGACATTGATTAATTGCTACATCAACAATTGTGTTAAAAATTATTTATATTTATAACCTTCGTTGTGTGTATTGGTTAGTGGTAACAATGTTAATAGAGAAAAAT